AATTATGTCATCTGCAAACAGGGCTTGTTTTTATTTTTTAATTCTTTCTCTTGCTTTACTGTAGTGGCTAGAAATGCTAGTATTATGTTGAATAAAGGTGGTGAAAGCAGATATCTTTGCCTTTTTCACAATCTTAAGGGAAAAACATTCAGTCCTTCACTATTCAGTTTGTCATGAGGTGTAGTTTGTATAGATGCTCTTTAACAAGTTAAGGTTATTCCCTTTATCTCTAACTTGCTAAGAGGCTTTTATTTTTTCAGCATTAATAGGTGTTGGATTTTATCAAGCGATCTTTCTCTGTAAGTTGATGTAATCAGACCATTTTTTTAGCCTGCTGATAAACCATTGATTGATTTTGAATGTTGAACCAACCTTCTATTCCTGGAACAAGTCCCAGTTGGTCATGGTGCTTCTTTTTTTTTTTTAATACACTGTTGGATTCAGTTTGTTTATATTTTGTTAAGGATTTTCTGTGTATTTTTATGAGAGATACTGGCCTGTCAATTTCTTTTTTCTCTCTTTCTTTTTTAATTACTACCTTTGTCAGGTTTTAATGTCAGGGTAATATTGGTCTCATAAAATAAATTGAGAAATATTTCCAGTTCTTCTATTTTCTGGAAGAGATTATAAAAATTGATTAATTCTTCTTTAGATGTTTGTTAGAATTCTCCAGTGAAAACATCTGAGCCTGGAGATTTATTTTTTTCAGGAGCTTTTAAACTATGAATTCAATTTCTCTGATAGTTATACCCATTCAGATTATTTATTTCATCTTGGTTGAGATTTGGTAGTTTGTGGTTTTCCGGAAATTGATTTCTTTGTCAAATTTATAAGCATAAAATTATTTATAGTATTCTTTTATTAATTTTTCATAGCTATAAGATTTGTAGTGCTATCTCTTATTTCTGATTTTGGTAGTGTGTGTCTTTTATTTTATTCCAGCCAGTCTTGCTAGAGGCTTATCAGTTTTATTGATTTTTTTTCCAAAGGATTATCCTTTGGTTTTATTGATTCTCTCTATTATTTTCCTATTCCTTTGACTTCTGCTCTTATTTTAATTATTTCCTTCTTTCTGCTTGCTTTAGATTTATTTTTATCTCCTTTGTCTAGTTTCTTGAGGTTAAAAACTTAAATTATTAATTTGGGGCTTTTCCTCATTTCTGTTGTAAGCAGAAATGTTACAGTTGGTGGTTCCCCAAAAGGAAACCACAGCGCTGTTAGACAAGAGAATAGACCCTGGGCAGCCCAGAATTATAAATATCCACTATGCTCTCTAGTCTCTTACTTTTATTTCATTTTATTTCTTATTTACTAAGTGATCCATTATTGGCTATTAATCCAAAAAGAAGACAGTAAATAATTTTATGCAGAAGACCAAAAATCTCCAGAATTAGGAAAAATAGATCTTATTAATTAAAAATTTTATTCCAGTATTCTCCCCTCATTTCTAGAAATTCCTATGTTTATCATAACAATCCTAAACTTGTTTTAAGTAAAGACTAAGACTGGCGAATTCACTTCTATTGTTCCTTTTCTTTGCTTTGCTCACTTGGTTATCCACGCGTGAACATTTTACAATCGTGCTCTAGTTCTTAGTGATGTAAAGGGAAACTGCAACAAATGTGAATGAATTTTATTTCTTTTCTTATCTAAAACCCATTATTTGTTCCTCATCATATATACCCCCCAAATCTAAACTTCTCAGCATAGAGTTCAAGGCCTTCTTGATATTTCAATATAGAAGGTGATAGCTACTCCTGTATCAGTTTAAATAGATTTAGTCACAGCGCATAGAGGACTCATAAGAAGACAAAAGCTGGTAGGGCAGCTCTACAATCATCAGAGACCCAGGCTCCTTCTGAGTTGTTGCTCTACCATCCTCCAAATGTGACTTCTGTCTTGTGGTCCAAGAGGCTACTGTAGATCCTGCCATCACATCCACGTGCTGGCCAATGCAAAAAAGGAAAAGTGGGGAAGGAATAGCCCCTACCTCTGAGAACACTTCCAGGAAGTTGCACACACCACCTTACACTTACATCCTATTGTCCAGAATTCAGCCATTTGCCATACCTAGCTTCAAGGGCAGCTGGCACATGTAGATTTTATTCTTGGTCACTAGTACCCATGTACATTTGGGGGCTTCTATTACTGAGGAAAAACAGAACTGATACTGTGGAAACAACCAGTAGCTTCTGCTGCACCATCTTCCTCCCTCCCTGTTCTGCTCCAAATGAGGGAAGACTAAACTGACTGCCGAACGCTGACTGGGTCATGTTTACTCTCGGGCAGAACTGCTGCTCGGTAAAAGGCCTCAAGCATGGATGAGTGGATGTAACTCTTTCTTGGAAGCGTTGCTCTATTTCTTCCTTCCATGCGGCTGAATTGGTAAACTGATCGAGGCTTGGCCTAAGGAATGACCAAATGTCTTTGTCTCTGGTCCCTTTCTCTCTGTTTACAAGTGTGTGCGCACTTTCACTGCTCCCTCGGCAGCTGGTGGCTGGTGGCTTGCCTTGGGCGCATGGGCTGTGAATCCCATACTCCATTCCTCTTTACCAGGAAGTTGTGCCGTAAGGATTACAGGCTTGAGATCAGCTAATATGTAAAATAAAATGGATACAGTGGTTTTAGTTTTAAAGAAAAACTACTTGGAATAGAAGTCGGAACCTCAAGAAAATGCTCGTCATAAAAGATGGTTGCTGTATTGCTCGGTGTAACAGAAGGAAGCAAAGGGACTGGAGGCTGTGAGGTGGAAGAATCAAAAGGAACCACCTCCTTAGAATGGGCACGGAGAGACAAGAAACCCCCACGGGGATTTGCTGGCTGTGTGCTGTAGATATATCTCGTCAACCTCCTGTTTTTTTCTTTTCTTTGAAATAATCAGAAAACTTTACATTGTTCACTAAGGATTTGTATGAGTAGGTTCTGGATGGGAATCAAAGAGGAAGAAATGATAGGTGGTGGTTTGTAGTCTGTCACTTGCAAGTTCAGAAACCTAAGACTAACTTAAGGAAGAGAGACAGGGAGAGAGAAGGAGAAAGTAAGTTGGCTTCTAAAACTGGAAAGTCCGGGGATGAATTTTTATTTTGACATAATGAGTAATTTTGTTTTCTCTCTCACTTTCTTCCCTCTTGTCTCTTGTCTCTCCGCACCCTGCCCCACCTCTGTCTCTCTTTCCGTGTCTGCCTCTGCTTTCCTCTCTCTGTTGGCCTCACCCTTTCAGTTTCCACTAAAGGCAGGCTTACTTCATGCACCTGGGAAGGCAGTCACTGGCAGCACCAGATTCAAAGTGTACACTTTAAGTATGTGCGGTTTATTGTTCGTCATATGTATATAATAGGTATAAAATATATATAATTGGTAAAATATACCACAGTAAAGCTGTATATTATGTAGATGATAGATGGATAGATAGATGGATGGACAGATTGAGTGCTTACCACGTGCTAGGCACTGTTCCGAGAGCTGGAAATTTCAGTCGTGTCAAAGTCTCTGTCCTCGTGGAACTTTCCTTCCGGCAGGAGGACATTATCTCCCCCCACCTCCAAAAGTAAACAACTATGTAAATAATACAGGAATAGGCCACCAAACATTTTTCCTTATGGCTTTTCTCCTACAATGAAGAGCAACATAAATGAAAACAGCAAAATTCAGTGTGGCAATGTGATGCTCATTTTCCATAATGTCAGAAACACATTGCTGTTTTAACTGTTGAGGTACGCAAGTGAAAACTATTAACCAAAGATTAGGTACGCCCTCCCTCAAAAAAACAAAAATCTATTGATCTGAAATTTCTTTTGAATGCCTTCTGGGCTAAAGAGAAGTTCAGAATTGAAATCATAGACTTCAGAAATGATAAAAATGAGAACCGCCTGTGGAATGTAATCAAAATAACACCCTGAAGAGAACTCATTGCCTTACATTCATTTATTAGAACAGGCACAATGAACATAAAAGGTCAAAGCCACTGACCAAGAAGCTGGCAAAAGAACAACATTAATTCAAGGAAAGTTTGAAGGAACAGATCCATAAAAATAAAAGCAGGAAATAATTTAAAAAAAAAAGGGAGAAAAGTAGACTGATCAACAATACCAAAAGCTGATTCTATGAAAAGAGCAGTGAAACAGACAAACTTATGAAAAGTTTTTAATTAAAAAAAAAAAGTTGAGAGTGAGACAGAGAGGAAGAATGTGTCAAAAGCTGGATTCAGACAGCCTAGCTGGCTTGCACAAGTTACTTAATCTCTTTAGGCTTAATTTCCTTATTCATAAAATAAGGACAGTAATACAATGCTTATTTCATGAAGTTGTGTGAGGGTTAAATTAGGTCATACGTAAGAGCTTAGCACAGTGCGTTACACATAATATGCATCCAGTAAATATTATCATTATGATTAATTGTGTCTGGTACCTGGCACATTGTAGGTACTCCAAAAATGGTAGTTCCTCTGCTCCTTGCTGCCATGGTTTCACACATCAAATCATTTTCTATATTCATGTCTTATCACTAATTTATATTCTAAAATCAGATCAGCTCAAGGCAAAGGAGGTGAGCTGAGACAGTAGTTTGGAGAACAATGCCAAAAACATCAGCATTGTGTCTAAAAAAGTTTTGACATGTGATTACAGGCTGTGTGTGTGAACAGAAGAGAACCACACAGCTCAGTAGTGTTGGCTTCCTGACGTGGTCCCCAAAACATAATTGTCCATCTGGGACGGATGCGGTCTGGGAGCCCTGTATCCTCTGATGTGAGCTGGAAAGAGTAGCCCTGGCATCAGAACAGTCGTCTTCGAGTCCCAAGTACTGGGAACAAAATAGGGGACTAGTGGGCTTTCTCAGGATTGTCTGTCTGGGGCAGGAATTTCTCTGAACTTTTAGGGAGACGTGGGAGACATATTTGAGCCATGAGTTAGTTTGAATGGCCCCACTAGGGAAAGGAAAGGGAAGGAGGATATGAGGCCACAGGAACCAGGAAGACTGGTTAAACTAGGACTTGATATTCTGATGAATTTAGTAAGCGGAAGTGCTCAGTCACGGAGATCACAAGGGGTTCAGGGTTTGTGAAATACGAAAAGGGCATTGAAGCCCAGAGCTGAGCCAGAGAAGAGCTACCTGGAAATCCTAATCAGAGGGAAGACCAAATCCTGTTGAAAGAGACTGAAATTAGAAGTGAGTTGAGGTTGGAAGGGAGTTTCAGAGATGATGGGGTACAGCCGCAGCCAGGAACAATTCTGTCACAAATTCCTGATTTCTTGATGATGTATTTCCTGCTTATTTTGCAGCCTCGTTGTAAACCACTGACTAATAATTGATCCCTAATTTGCCCAAAGTCTCACTCTTCACTTCTCCTTCAACATGGTGCTTGGGAAGTGCTCTGGGAATAGGAGCTATAGCCATTTGTGTGGTGATGTTGGGACAAGGGTTCAGGACATGCTCCACGCACCTGGCTGGGTAGGTCCAGGGAGCAGGACCAGAACTTTTCCACAGACCTCTCTCCTTTTAATTTTAGGAACCCTAAAGGTGGACTTACTCCAACCCATTACATGGGCAATTTCATTTCAATGTACAAAAATAGAAAATGGGTGAAGGGTGTCAGTTGCACAGTGATGGATGGTAAGTAGGCCTTTGATGGTGATCACTTTATAGTGGATACAGGTTATACATATAATAATAGTGGGGGTCACCTGAAACTTACATAATGTAATGTACCAATTTTACTTCAACTTTTTTTTTAAGAAAGCTTAAAAAACAAATTTCATTTTGGTCCTCATTTCACTGTGATACATTTGAGATCATCCATCTATATCGAGCTCTATCGAGCTCTGGAAACATTACACCAGGCCCTGCAAAATGAGATGATGACTTAGTTTCCAGGTTTTCTGTAGTGACTGGGATCTGAGATGCCAAACGCTAGCTATGAACTAGCACACTAGATAAGAATCTTAGAAGGGGAGAGGATTAACTAGACCCTGGTACTAAATAATAAAATCTCAACGAAGTTTCTCCTAGCTGGGGTCTTAAACTCTCTCACTGACCTGTGCCTTGTATTTTTACCAATGGGGGTGGCAATCCCGACCCAAAGCAGACCTGAGAGCCTGAGATCCTGGCTTTCGGATGGCTTGACAGGGAGACAGCCCCAGCCATTCCTCCTGGTTGCCGATTTGCTATGGTATCACCTCCAGATCCACACCGGCTCAGGCTGGAGGGGTAATGTCACTTTTGAGTTCTGCTGTTGCAGAGAAGCCTTAGGAAGGCCTTGTCTGACGCCTGGCCAGACTTCGGAACAGTCTGTCCCCTAACAGGCAGTTGGAGTGAAGAGCCAGATGTGCAGGAAGGCTGCAAATGACCGGGCCCACTTGAGAAGCTGGAAGAACACTCCTAGCTGAAGGTACGAGGGCCATCACCTCACTGAAGACTCTGAGGACAGAGCAGGGAGAGGACACCAAGGCTGTCATATGGCCCTGGAATCGAGCGCCTGCTGTACTTGTACTGGGGTCGGGGCCGCATCCCTGCCTGTAAGGGGAGGTGAGTCCTACTGTCAGTCAGCAGGTGAAGGGGTGGATCTATTGGACTGAAGAACAAACCTACAGATAACCTGGCTCAGAGTTTCAACACTTCCACGCTGGCTGCCAGGAGCAAGCTGTGCCTCCTTCAGAGCTCTGACTCAAAAACCTTGCTCTCAGTTTCCCTTACTGCAGCTGAGATAAGTTAAATCCTGCTTGAAGACTCCATTGATGTTAAGAGAGGACAAGAGAGGAATGACCATAGAGATTGTTAAGTAGTTGCTTAATCACTCCTTTCTGCTCTCCATCCCCAAACCAGCTCTCAAATTCACACTTGCTTTGTCTCTCATCTGGACTCTTCCAGCCACTTCTCAACTTGTTTGCCTAGGTCCCCTGCAAGCCATCCTCCAGACCCTAGCTGATCTCCGTTTAAAATTCATCGATGCCCTCAAGGAACTGTGTTTCTAGACTCATCTCCAGTCTGTCTCCTCACATGTCCTCATGGCATTTCCCCACTTAATGAGGTCCGGGAGAACAAGGTTATCTCCCACACTGATTTTGCCAGAGCAACTATGCTAACACAGGGCACACAGCACATGGGTCATAGGTATTTGCTGATTCTATTTCTTTTGTCCACTATCATAGTCAGCATGGCCCTGGGTCCCTGTGCTGATAGCCTGCCTGGCAGAACTGGCCGCGCAAAGGGAAATTAAATAAAGGAAGAAAGGCCCTTTTTTGATTTTACTCTGGAGGCCTAGAATTTTAACACCTTTTTGTTTTAAGAATATGCAATTCCTTGGGAGAATTAAATGTGCCAAAGAAATTAAAATTTCTTAAATGTAGGCTAAAGGGTGACTACTTAGTATTTTTACCATTAAGTGAAAATTGGCCAGTTTCATTTTCTTGGTGACTGGAAAATGTCTCTCTAATAAAACTCATGTTTTTCTCAGTGTTTTCCACAACAGGATGGTTGTACCCCACTGGGTTAGAGAGTATTGTTAATTGTAACAATAAGATACACAAAGAAAAAAATGTCAGAATTTTTCAGATCAGGAAATGCTTAAATGTTTCCAACAAATGTTTATCAGGAAATGTTATTCCAGAATCAAAATATTTCCTGTCTGATGATTATGCCATGGAGAATAATCATGTGATGCCAGTTATGGGGTCTTTTTTTTTTTTTTCATTTAAGACAGGGAATACTTTATTCAGATCCATCAGAGAAATGGATAGCTTGGGCCTGTAACAAAGCGTTGTGTTTTAAAGCATAGGTCAGTAATTGTGTATGAGAGTATACACTGCTACATACAAATTAACTGATCAGACCACAATTTTTCTATGTTTAAAACAGAATAAGCTTCCCTGTAAAAGCAGCACCTTTGTGACATTTTAACTTGAGTATTCCTCTCCTTCTTTCTCTCCCTCTCCTTCAACAGAATCTACACCAACTTCCTCATAATCCTTCTCAAGGGCAGCCATGTTCTCATGGGCCTCAGAAAACTCTCCTTCCTCCATGCCCTCGCCCACGTACCAGTGAACAGAGGCACACTTGGCACACATCAGGTCAGACTTGTGGTCCAGCCGAGCCCAGGCCTCGGCAGTGGTTGTGGTGTTGCTCAGCATGCACACAACTCGCTATACTTTGGCCAGGTCTCCACCAGGTACCACCAGGTGGGAGGCTGGTAATTAATGCCGACTTTGAAGCCGGTGGGGTACTAGTCCACAAACTGGATGATACGCTTGGTCTTGATGGTGGCAGTGGCAGCATTGACATCTTTGGGGACCACGTCACCACGGTACAACAGGCAGCAAGCCATGTATTTACCATGGCGAGGGTCACATTTCACCATCTGGTTGGCTGGCTCAAAGCAAGCGTTGGTGATCTCTGCTACAGAAAGCTGTTCATGGTAGGCTTTCTCAGCAGAGATGACAGGGGCATATGTACAGAGGGAAGTGGATGCGAGGATAGGGCACCAGGTTGGTCTGGAATTCTGTCAGATTGACATTCAGGGCTCCATCAAACCTCAGGGAAGCAGTGATGGAGGATACAATCTGACCTAGCAACCTATTCAGGTTTGTGTAGGTTGGGCGCTCAATATCGAGGTTTCCTTGACAGATGTCATAGATGGCCTCATTGTCTACTATGAAAGCACAATCAGAGAGCTCCAGGGTGGCGTGGGTGGTGAGGATGGAGTTGTAGGGCTCAACTACAGCTGTGGAAACCTGGGGGGGGGCTGGGTAAATGGAGAACTCCAGCTTGGACTTCTTCCCATAATTGACAGAGAGACGTTCCATCAGCAGGGAGGTGAACCCAGAGCCAGTTCCCCCACAAAAGCTGTGGAAAACCAGGAACCCCTGAAGACCTGTGCACTGGTCAGCCAGTTTCCGAATTCGGTCCAAGATGAGGTCAATGATCTCCTTGCCAATGATGTAGTGACTGCGGGCATAGTTGCTGGCAGCATCTTCTTTGCCTGTGATGAGCTGCTTAGGGTGGAAGAGCTGGCAGTAGGTGCCAGTGCGAACATCAATGACTGTGGGTTCCAGGTCTACGAACACTGCCCTAGGCACATGCTTGCCAGTGCCTGTCTCACTGAAGAAGGTGTTGAAGGAGTCGTCTCCTCCCCCAGTGGTCTTGTCACTTGGCATCTGGACATTGGGCTGGATGCCGTGTTCCAGGCAGTAGAGCTCCCAGCAGGCATTGCTGATCTGGACACCAGCTTGGCCAATATGGATGGAGATGCACTCACACATAGTTGCTGTTTTGCGGCTACTGAGGAGATGGCAGAGAGGAGGAGGAGTGGCTGTTGCTTCTTACAGCACGACTCTTAAGCAGTCGATGTAAGAGAACCTCAGTTATGGAGTCTTATAAAAAAAGTTTTATGATGTGATGTATTTATTGGGGAGAAAAATCCAATATAAGTAACATGAGATAAATGAGAATTGCCCAGAATCATACTTTTAGAAAAACTTTATTATTCACATTAAAATTTAAACCTTTTAGAAAAATATAAAGAATAAAGTAGAAACTCACCAATATCTCACCACTCAGAGATGACTACTCTTAATATTTAAATGAACATAATTCCAGGCAGGTCTTGGTGTAAATATATGCATTTGTGTTCAGTTTTATGTCAATAGTCTTAATGATACATATCAGCGACATATCATAGATATATTTCCATGTCAGTAAGTCAGGAACGGCAGTACTAGTGCTCATAATTGTGCGTGTGTATCACATGTATCCATTGGGATGTTCCAAGCTTCAGCAGCAGCTGTCCAAATATCAAGTCCTCAAGTGACAGTGTAAAGGGAAGAAGAGGGCAGTTGGGTGGGCAGAGGGGTCTTTCTTCAACATGACCTTCCTCCTAAGGGTCTACCGCCAGGACCAGTCACCTGCCCACCCCAGACACTGCCAATGAGAATGAATTGATATGGCAAGCCATGATTTCTTCTCTGGGACTGATTACATTGCTACCTAAACAAAAACAGGATTCTATAAGCAAGAAAAAGGGATGAAACACATGAAGCAAGGTTAAATCCATAAATTCACAATGATAACAACTAACAAACTCATTTGGTCCCTGTTGGAGTATGTTAGTTAAACAACTCATTGTTTTTGCAAACTGGCAAATTAAGAGAAAGAATTAAATGCTTATCCTGCTCTTTGTATCTCACTGGGAAAGCCAAATCATCAAGGAAAGTAGTTTCCCTTTGTCAAAGTATTTCAGCTAATAAATGGAGGAGAAATGATGGAATCAAGATATTACCATTTATAACACCAGATACTAATCTACTTCAGTGGACTAAATGCAGTGTAGTACGTAAAGGCATTGAGCATCAACAACTACTGACATCACAGAAAGAAACAGCCCAACGTTCTATGCCTTCTGATGGAAGGATACAACACCATCTGAGAAGTCATCTCGCCAAAAAAGAATCTGAATCTAACCAAGACTCAAGGTTATCATTTACAGGAAGTATGAAGAGCACATTCAGGAAAATCCAGATTTTGGAAAATTTAAGAGGACAAATAACCTGGTTTCTTTAACAAATAAATTTCAAGGAAACAAAAGGAACTGAAGAGGATTAAAAGATTAAAAGGATTAAAAGAGACTTAAAAGACATTATCAACCAATTGCAGTGTGTAGACTTTATTTGAATCCCAAGTCACGCAAACTGTTAAAAAATATATAATACTTGGGAGGTAATTAAAAATTTGAACTCTGAAAGGATGTCTCACAATCAAAGAATTAGTGTTAGTTTTTCAAAGTAGGATAATTTTTTTTTTTACAAAAGAGTTCTTATCTTTTAGAAAGTCCATTGAAATATTTACAGGTGAAATGGTAAGATGCTTCAAAATAGTGTGGTTGTGGAGAGATGAATTGAGAAAACAACTTTGGCTGTGAACTGCTAATTGACGAAGCTGAACAATGAGTACGTGGGTGCTTATTAATCATTATGTCTATTTTTGTATATGTTTTAAAATTTTCTTAATAAAAAGTAAAAGAAAGGAGGGAAGAAAGGGAGTGAGGGTGGCTTTTAGGCAGGCAACCAACAGTATTTGCCACACTTTAATTTATCTAATTAGTTTGCCATAGAATATATAGGCTGTTTCCCATTTTTCCTAATTATAAAAATTCTGTGATCTATATCCTTCTACATACATCTTTTCATATTAATAGATTCCGAAAGGCAGATTTATCGAGTCAAAAGACAAATTTAATACGTTAAGTCAAACTGCCTTTAACAGGGCTCTAATGAACTACACTTTCAAATGGATTTTTAAATTATTTCAATAAAATCATTGATATTTTTTATTAGAATAGCATTAGACTTATAAATTAATTTTAGGAAAATTGACATCCTCACGTTGTTGAATCTTCCTATCTAAAAACAGCATGCTTCTCCATTTTGCCTTCCTTAGTCTTAGTAGGTTTTCTTATTGATTTTTGTGTATTGATTTTGTAACTGGCCACATGGCTAAACTCTATTATTCCTAAAAGTTTTTCAGTTTATTTTCTTGGGTTTTCAAGGTGGCGTTTGACAAAAAGATGGAGAAAAGCTTAAATCCTGCTCTTGACCTGCCTTTCTTTAAAGTCCCCAAGAAAAGTACATGCACATACACACACAAAACCAAAGCAAGGCAAATGATCACTGTTGTTACGTGGTGACTTCCCTGGGCTCTAATGTTGAACTCAAGTAGATTAGGCTACACTGTGGTACTATAGATGCCTACAGGACTTAGAAGCAAAGCAGGCCATGAATCCTGTCCTGAGTCTTGGCTCTGGTCCCTGCAATGCAGGATAAGGACAAGCCAGAGCACTTGGTCAGGAGAAGTCTGTATTAGAGCGAAAAAGCTTTTGCTCCAATGCTTGTGGCAATTGGATTATCACTGAGCTTGCCTTGCTTTTCAGGCACAGGAATGAAGAGCCGCAGATGGAGTTCATATGTTGGTTGCCTCCCAGGAGGGGTCTCTGACATGTTTTCCCTCAGGCCTTTCAAAAAAGGAGTCACAAGAACCACTCCCAGTGCCTCCCACTGGACAGAATGACACAATAACAGCTCCATTCTCTGGGGGCAGGTACCCACAAAGTCCCTTTGAACTTGACCAGTCCAAAAAGTTGAATGGAAGAGGGGGTAGGGAATAGGGGCTGTGAGCATCCCTTGGCCAACGAATCTAACTGGATCATCTATAAATAATGATAAATTTCCTGCATCCTTTTCAGTCTTCATATTCCTTACTTTACTTTCTTACCTAATTGCATTAGCTGGTCCTTCCAGAATAGCATTAGAGCATTAATTAGAAATAAGAGGCACCATTGTTTTATTACTATATATAATGAACATGAATTTCACCATTAAACATGAAGCTAGCTTTCAGGGTGTGTATGTAGTCATTTACTAAAATTTCCTTTATCAAAAATGAATATTGATGATTGAATTTTATCAAACATGTTCTCAGCATCAATCAAAATATCGTATCCCTTTGACCTATTATCATGGAGAAATATATGAATCAGTCTTTTCTCAAAATCTTCTCAAATATGTCTTCTCCTCTCTCTTTAAGCCCAGCTTGCTGTCATACTGAGTTCAAGGACTCCTGGGCTGATGCAGTAGAGCCTTAACGTGGTCCCCCTGGCTCCAGGCTCACCATCCTCCCCCCTGCACAATGGCCCCCTCAACACAAAGGGAATGACATAGTCCTCCTGCTTAAAATCCTTTGTTGGATCCTGTGATGTGTCTTGTTGCTGTACTGCCAAGGCCTTTTATGATTTGGCCCATTACCTTTCTAACTGATTTGGAAAGAGGCCACACAGTCCAGTGGAAAGAACTTGGCCTGGAATTGGAGATGGATTTGAGTCATAGCTCTGCCTCTTAACTAGTTATGTGACTCTAGGCAAGTGGCTGAAGTCTCCACTGCTTGAACTATAAAAAAGGGCCAGAATTATTTAAGTTGCAGGCTCTTGAAAGAATCAGTTGAGATAATGTACAATAAGAAGCCCAGCCCTAGAAAGCACTCAAGAAATCATTGCTACTTTAATCACCTGTCATTGCCCTAACTCCTCCATATCGCCTTCATTCTAGTCTTGCTCAGCAACTTCTAATTCTCTAACACAACATACTCTTTCTTATTCTACTTCAGGTGTAGAATTCTAACACCCTAACACCCCCATCCCTAACTGTCATTCTCTTAGCAAACTCATAATCCTTAACCCTGAAGCTCTCTCATTGGGGAAGCCTTCTTTGACCTCCTCCTGGTAGTTTGTGGTTCTGTCAGTGTTGCCAAAGTAACATGTATATGTATCCACTATGACTTTTATCACTTTGTATTCTTATGCCACGCTGGGATACACCATACTATATAGTGTGGTGAAGAGCAAATGTCAGTAAAGGTACAGTGTAACTGATGTCTCTCTAAAACACAGAGACCCCGGCATTGCTGCTTGGGTGCCTCCCATATCAGTGCAACCTGGGCACTTACTCTCTCCCACACTCTCTCCTGGGGCCTCAGGAGAGTCACCTGTACTGACTCAGGAGTGGCAAAGGAGGAGGATACTACATGGTATCTGCAGAGTTATATACTAGAACACCCCATCCTCCAGCCCCCATGGGATTTAAGGAGAGCTAATATTCCCACAAGGTTGCCCTTTGATGCAGGGGTCAGAAAGCTGTTGTGGCCTGGCTATATTTTCAAAGCTATGACCTGCAGAAATATAGGTTATAATAGCAATGACATTATCTGCAGTAATATTTGAAAAGAAATTATAAATGATGAGAACATAGACAAAAAAAATAGAAGCATAAAAGAAAAATGCCTATCTGGTGTCAAGGCTATCACCTCTCTTCTAACCAAGGAATGCATTGTGTTTAGTGGTCTTCTTGCTTCTCCTTCCCCTCCTCCCTGCCTTCTCCCTCCCCTTCCTCCACCTCTCCTCTTCCCTGGAACTGCTCCCCCCAGTCAGACTCCTTGCCCAAACCAGTCCTTTTCAACCTTCAGCTTCTAGTCAGTCAGCTTTCCCAGAATATGGTCAGCTGATTCAACCCAAGTCTTTGCTTTATCTTAGCATTTGCAATATATTATCTTAAACATAGGAGAGGAAACTTAGAAATGTAATACAAATACCAATTTCATAAAGCCTCGAGGAATTTAAGATCTGGAAAACAAATCTGCTTCCTCAGATTATACCCAATCAACAGTACACAGCGCATCAAAGTGCTGACCTCATTCATTTATTCATTCAATCCTTAACAGGGTAACCTTTGGATACATTTACCTGTGCTTAGTTTTTGCTGCTAGAGACTTGACAAGGAGGAAAGAAAGAAAAATTTCCTCCTCCCTGAAGGATAACTGGATTTTTCTGAATTCCTAAGAAAAAAGTTAAAAGTTAAGAGAAATTTTCACTCTCTCTCTTTTTTAAATTGGGGCCTTGGTGTCTAGATATCTGGAAAGAATAAAGCAGTATGAAATCTTTCTGTTTTGGGAGGTTTTAAAAGGGAATACTGTCCCATTATGACTGGGTCCTCATTGTGGACTGGAAAAAGGATAAAGTCTCCAGGTTTCATTAGAGTAGAGTCATGAATCTGTTGGGATCAGAGAAGTGGCAGAACACTGGGGGAAATAGCCCCAGGAGTGGCTGGAGGAGTTGAACACTAAAAAATTGTATCTTGAGGACACATGAAATTATTAGGGAAGTGAGAAGATAAAGGAGTCCAAAGACTGAACTCTGGGCATGCCTATGACTAGAGATGCAGGAATGAGAGGTAATCAGCCAATGGAGTTGCCGGTGAGGTAGAAGAATTAAGAAGGAGGGGACCCTAAAAGGCTAAGCAAAGAAAGCGAATGCTTCAAGACTTCAGGGGTGAGAAATTCTTTCCAATACTGCTGACAGTTCAAGTAAGATAAATGAGAAGTAACCACTTATTTAACCCAGGGAGGTCATTGGTGACTTTGCCAATAACAGTTTCAGTGGAGAGGTAGAAACAAAAGCCTGGTTGGGGTGGATTCAATGAATAGGTGGAGGGGATTAGGATACAGTGAGTATAAATGGCTCTTTCAAGGAGTTCTGCAAGAGAACAGAGAAATACGGTGGTAGCTGGAGGGGGACACATTGTCAGGAATTTTTTTAAAAATGGGAAGATGGTGCACAATGTTAACATGCTGTGGGAATGACCCAGCATAGAGATAAAACATAATAAGGTAGGATTGAAAGTTGACAACTGCTAGAGTAACAACTCATGCAAGTAGAAGACAGATCTAGTACAAAAGTGGAAAAGTTGGACTCAGGAGCATGGGCAGTCCATTCTCAGTAACAAGAGGGAATACAGAGTACACAGGTCCAGATGTAGGTGCGAGGGACTGAATATTTCTCTCCCCCAAATTCATATGTTGAAATCCTAACCCCTAATGTGATTGTATTAGGAACTGAGGCCTTTGGAAAGAAATTAGGTCGTGAGGGTGGACCCTCCTGTTTGGGATTAGTGTCCTTATAAAAGGATCCCAGAATGCTCTCTTGCCTTCTTTCCAGTATGCGAGGATACAGTGAGAAGATAGCAGTCTGCAACCCAAAAGAGGGACCTCACCAGAACCCAGCCATCCTGGCACCCTGATCGTAGACTTTCAGCCTCTAGAACTGTGAGGGATAAGTTTCTGTTGCTTATTGACCACCCAGTCTATGGCAGTTTGTTAAAGCAGCCAGAACTGACTAAGACAGTAGGTAAACTTGACAGATGTGGTGATGGGAATTTTAACCTCTAACGACCTATAATGTCTGAGTACAGCTTTCTAGTCCAAAGAATTTAGCAATACTGTGAAGTCAACAGACTAAAAAAATTTTAAAGGAACTTGTATGTAATCTAGTCATCTTTCCTTCCTTCTTTTAATTTTGAACTCCCTGGAAAAAGTTGTTGGTCCTAAATAAAATTGAAGTATTGAATCAGACACATTCTTTTTAATGTAGATTTTATAAAAAGAAACACTTTTAACTTCTGAGGAAATACTCACAATTTAAAAAATAATAATAAATAAAATGTTTTTATTGTTAGACAATTGTCAGGATTCAGCTGGAACACAGTGTAAGGAATGTACGAACTTCAGCTGTCCATAATGTGGAAAAGGTGAAACGTTCAAGGCAGCAGATCTGGCCTTGGGAGCTGATGGAAGTGACTTAATCTCTTGGAATCTGAGTTGCTTTAGCTGCTAAACCAAGGATAACCTCTGCCTTTACAGGACTGGTGTGAGCTTTAGATGAGATAATATAGGGAAAGCTGTTGGTATAAAATAGCTATTCAAAAAATTGCAGTTATCATTATTAAATCTATCATTTGAGCTTTTTCTGAGGACAAACATATTAACTGATAAATTTCCTCCATTTACATAACTAGAGGGGGAATCGGGGCAGGCACATGGGGCTGCTCTCTCTCTGTACTATTTTTGGAACTTCATGTGAATCTATAATTAAAGTAAAAAGTTACAGTGAATTTCTTCTGTCTAGAGTTCTATGGGAAGTACCTGTACCTTCCTACCTAGTGCAACGGCAGGATTGCTGTTATCATTCATTTGAATGATAATGAAATCCTGCTATTCATCTTAGGAGTGGATGTTGCACTGAAAAAAGCATTGAAACTATGAATCCAAGTACTTGAGACAACTTACTTCACAATCAAGGCATCTGTAAAATTAGGATATATATTTAATCTCTCTCAGCTCTATGATTTTCTAAGTCTTATGGTACAAAGCAACAGTTAATTCAAAGAAATATAAACTACCAACCTTTGCTAAATAAATATGCTAAGAATGATTAAAGAATAAATATTTACTTACTGCATAGTATAACTTAACATAGTATAAAGGGAGAAATTAAAATATTATATACATGTTAAGATTATTGTACTTAAAATGTTATATAAATCCAAATTTTTATATTTAAAATATTATATGGATTCAAAATGTGAAATCAGATGCCTACCTACAGAGCTGGGTACATTTTTGATCACAAAAAAATGCACTATTGTCAATCTACATGTTAAATACTAATAAAGTTTGATTTCTTAATTTAGATTAAAATAGAGATAGTCTAATAATTTCTTCCCACATTCCAACTGCTTGAGGGGTCAGATTTGTTATAGGAAATTTCCTTGTCTATATTCTGGGACTACACCGGTTGAAATCTCTGTTCTGATCATTGTTGCCGTAATCACAATTTAACGTTAAGTTCTCTGTTAGCAGTATGTTTCAGTGGTAGATATCAGAGAAAGTCTATGCTATAAAATGTCTTACTGTTTTTCATCATTTAGGAATAATCTCAGGACTAAGAACTTCAGGTCTTTTAAAAAGTATTGATTTTATGTAAAAAATACCCAAATTTTTGAAAAATACTAATTTCTAAAGCAGTGTTATTTCTGTAGAGAAAGAATAACTATATAGGTTGATTTGTAAATTATGTATGGCATTTTGTATGGAACTGGTTTCTGATTATTTTACTCTCTAAATGGTGACTCAAATGCCTTAAATACAAAGTAGTTTGGATAAAGGGAAAAAGTGGCAGGAAACATGTTTGAATGTTTGAATTAGAAATCAATCCTGTTGCATGAATCAACTCTAAACTTGTTGAATGATGAATTTTAGCTTTGGTGGTGATCAGAAGGAAAGTCTTTTCCTGAACAGAAAAATAACAGTGATTTTTTTTTTTAATGCAGACTCAGTATTATGCTGCTTTGCCACAAGGAAAAGAGGAAGCTGAAACGTGATTGATCAGAACACAGGAAAAGGTGATTTGAAGCCTTTTTGGATTAGGTATCAATCACACTTAAAAGATGTGTTTATCCAGGCTGTCAGGCCGAAGAGAACTGGTACAAACCATTCAAAATGTTTATGTTCATGTTTTTCAATGCAGTTCAATGCAGTAAGCATATGTGAGGAACTAAAGGCCCATAATCAACATTAATTTGATTCCACAACCATTTCTTAAGCATTTTGCGGTACAGAAATTAATAAGGCATGATCTGTGCCCTCCAGAGTTTCACAATCTAGTGAGATATCATCACAAATCATTGTTATATTAAGAAGGTATGTTTAGTGATAACCCCACCTCATCTGACTACTTTCTTTAGTCTGGCCACCCTCTCCCTTAAATACTGTTAAAGAAGTGCCTTCTGATTATCCTTTTCAAATCAAAACTCCAAGCTGTCCTTTCAGTTATGGTTATGTCATAGTTTATATTAAAAGGCCAAAGGATAGCTGGTTGTTTGGGGCGGGGGGAGTTTATCTTACGCACCACCATGCATAAAAGCAAATAAATGCAAGCCTCCTTCTGGGGCTCAGAGGACTATACTCTGATGATAGACATAAAAGTCTGCCAAATATAGCAGCTGCAGTAAAAGCAGCTAGACATTCTGGAATGATGCTTATCCAATACAAAGGCCAGACCAAACGAAAGACTGACATGGTCATTCTAGGTTGAAATCTCGGTTATTCCATCTGGCTGTGCTACTTTAGGCAAATCATTTAAACGTTGAACCTGTGTCCTCATTTAAGCGCCAGCGTGAAAGCAATCAGCTCACTTCATGGGAACAGCTAGTAACCGTGGAGCATTTTACCAAAACCCACTCAGGCCAACGTAAGTGTAGTAAAGTGGGAGAAACCACTGCAAGTTACAAAGCTGTAATGCATTTTACTAAAATCTAAGGCCAGAAGAAGTGCAGTGTAATATAAGAAACTACTTCAAATTGGAGAGTGTGGTTGTTCCAGAAGACCTTGTTCGCAAGGTAACTCAGATCACCCGTTCAGCCTCATCACTGTTTATTTCAGCCTTTGTAGAAAGGTAAAGGACTTCAGCCCCATGGCATTGAGGGGAAAGCAGGGAAGCCACGTGAAGCGATCCGAGCTCCCTGATAGTGGGACCACTAGAAAAGCTGGGATAGGCTGGAGAGAGGGAGTGTGGAAACGGTTGCTGCAGCAGCATCCCTAGGCCTCAGCCTTCCGGGTCAGGTATCACCAAATTCCCAAGACTTTGGGGACCGGAACCCTGGAGGTGGGGGCGTCCCACTGGAGAATCCCGGGAAAAGGGCGGAGATGGACCCAGCCAGGGGTGCGGTATTCAGTTCTAGGGATCCGCTTGGAGCCGAGAGGGAGTCGGCGAGAAAGGGGCGGGGGCGGCAGTGGGCAGCCGGGAGGAGAGGAGGGGCGAGACGCCGTCGTCGGCCCCCTCCCCTCGCCTCCGGTGCGCTCCCCTCGTGCGTGCTCCCCTCCTCTCCCCTCCCCGGCAGGGCAACCGAGCGCATCCCGCCGAGGCCAGGCCGCTGCAAGGGGAGGCGCCAACTCGTCGCAGCGCCGGGCCCCCGACCGAGCAGTAACGGCGACCCAGGAGGCGGGGCGGATGTGG